GGGAGCAGTCACGGATTATTTGTAGGCGACGCCGATGAACGGCATACGTCACAATACATATATATCCATGCATCTGCAATAATGAAACAATACCTTATAGCAAAACTTCAAAAAACCATAGAAGACACTACACTCACAATTATTTTAATTTGGGTAGATGGAACCATTTCTACTTATCTGTAGACACTAACTGAGTGAAGCTGATGAGTTGAGGCAGATGTATCGCTCCAGCTTACCCCCACTTGTAGTTCCTAGGAACTAGGATCTAAATGCACACACGAACGAACGGTCCACTTGACCAATTTATATATTGCACTAAGAACAATACAAATTTGGATGATGCCACCCAGGCGATCGGTACGCGTTGAGGTCATGACGAAAAAATTATTTTTTTCCTTGAACACGGTTACATACTTTAACATATTTTATAACATATTTTAAATTTTATGGGAGGGTATACGTCGTATGAGAAACAATCCCTCTCTTATCATCATTCCAACTTAATGCTATTTTCTTTTGCTCAACAGTATAAACCTCATGCTTTTTGCTTTGAATCAAATTTTGAGGTTTAATCAAATTTTTTCAACACTCGAGACACTATAGATAATCATCGAAGGTTATGGTCTTCAACGTATATCCTTTGATTCTTTTCGCACGCTTCTTATCCCGAGTTTCGCCTAAAATTCGAAAACTATATAATTTCGCCCGCAGTCCTACAAACTCCGTCATGATTTTACCATTATTTTCATCCTTCATCAGACCTAGAACTTTCTTGTTGACTAATGGTATACCGTATACATTATCCGACGTATAGTCTGAAGTGTCGAATCTGTGTACATCGCGCTTAATTAATTCGTTTACGTTGGGAACATTAAAGTGGTATATCAAGCTATCCGTGTCGGTGTACATTAATTTTGCTTGTTCGCCGAAAGTCTTCTTGATGTAGTTATAGTGAAACTCATAAATATATGTTTTAGAGATATCCAGAATTGAAAATACTACGTACATAGGTTTATTGAATTTAATTCTGGTTCGCTTCAATTCGATTATAACCATATTCTAGCCAAAGACGGTGTAGCTATGAAAATTCGGTTTTGTTATGAGCTTTTGCTCCATACCTCCCATTCCACTTAGTAATGAGTCTAACGTTTCTCGTCATTCGTAAGCGCAACGTTCCTTAGAATTTTGTTCAGAAGTCGAATATTTTGAGTATCAACCTTTGTCCACTTTGTAAGTTCCACAATCGATGATTCTTTCTTGAGCAGTTTAAATGCTTCTTCCATGATCTTAATCAATTTCTTACACTTTGCAGAATCCATTTTTCCCTCGTTTAAAACGTTTACAATAAAACACACTCGATGAGGTTTGAACGTCAATGGTTGCTCTACATCACGAGCGGTCTTTTATAAGTTTAATGCATGAGCTCCCCTCATCATTGAAAACTTGTGCATTAAAATCAACAGCGGTTCTAATTGTCTGTGTGTGTGTGTGCGTGTGCGTGCGTGCGTGCGTGCGTGCGTGCGTGCGTGTGTGTGTGTGTGTGTGTGTGTGTGTGTGTGTTCATCTCAGCAGTGATATAAATAACTCGTCGGTAGCTCCTAACCATCAAAGACACATGCCGAACACTTCATCTAGCCTTCGAGTAACCCTATATTTTCGGCTCGCCAAAACCGTTGACCATCTCCCCGGAGGTAATGTTGCTGATATGCAGAAGGACTTGACGCGTTATTCACTAGCCTAAACATTGGCACTCTATAAGAAGTATTGTGAGATTGCAGTTCACTTAGTGCCAACCATATATATAAAGAAAAAATATATAAAGAAAAAGAAGAAGACATTTTACTACCATTGGAGTACGAAGTGCGAACAGTCAGTCGATCAAGTGCAACAGGGGTACACACAATTTTTTTGTAAGTTCACTTTATCTTGGATATCGCATAAGTGAAGTGCAAATTGAAAATGTTTGAAATATGTTAACGTGAACATAAATTAAAAAATTGATTATCAATTAATTATAGAATGGAGTATAGACGAGGAATCAGAAATATTACAATTTTCGTCCCAATTGAATGGATACAAAGGGCTCCCGACGCTGCAAGGAGGCTGTAGCCGTAGGGCTACTAATGTACCGGCCTGAGATTGGTAACAACAACACTGTGTTTGCAACATTCGTGGGAGTTATAACTAAACTCGTTGTAAGAAATAACAACGAGTATTGGTTCCTCCGATTAAGTGATGTGAATGGTACGTATAAGAAAAGATTTGTTTCCATCTCATTTTAAAAGTATTAGAAAAATCAATCTATATGTATTCTATATTTCAGTTTAATTGGAAAACGAATTCGTGACTATCATCATTTTCTCAACGATCAGAATGTACTCATATTATAAAATTTTAATGCAATAAATATATAAAATTAGTATTCTTGAAGTAATATTTTATATTTCTACTAAATTAAGCAAACATAAGCGGCCTGTTCCCAGCACCACCTCCTATAGTAAACCTTTTCTATATATATAACGTTACAGTTGTATTATACTATCATTCCAAGAGCGATAATCAACGAAAAAGGTACGTGCGAGGTAACCTCAAATGGAGCAATCACAGGGAGCAGAACGCGATTGGGCTACAAGAGAAAGAGAGCAGTTTCCAAGAGATCGGTATCATGAGTGCCTGCGTAGTTCACATCTCCCTGATTCTGAAAGGCATCGTCGCATCACATTCGCAAACAATAATTCGTTCGAAAACTCAGCGACACATGGAAATCCTACTAGATCGGATCAGGGTCACACTGCGAGAGGTTCTTCAGGAAACTCATCCTCCGGTGAACGTCAGCCTGAGAATTCAAAGGCAGGAGAAGAAAACCAAACGAACAAATAAAAATTATTGTTATTGTGAATGAGGATGACTATGATGAGTGAAAATTTTAAATGAATTTCTCCATGTTTGAGTGATTCCTAGATTCCACCCACGCAATTCCTAAAATCTGTCGTAAAATCCCTGATATCTACCGTAATATTTCTGAAATCTGCAGTAAAATCCCTGATACCTACCGTAATATTTCTGAAATCTGCCGTAAAATCCCTGACGTAAAACTAGGGCCCCCTTCCGATGACGTCAGCCGATGAAAAGGTCGGCGCCGTCGTCTCCTGCGCGCATAGCACCCTCTTCAAAAAAATTCCGGAGCCGTCGGTAAGGAGAAATCTTTCATAGGGGGCCCAATCGCCCTAACTTACCATACACAGGGGGCGCCAACGTCGCTGACGTAGCACGGATGAGAACCCACAGGTCGGTAATACGTCGGTGCAGGAATCTTGATCCAGAATTCTCCTTGTATAACTACTATCCTGCAGAAACCATGCCAACAATTCGCTTAGTTCATGTGTCATACCTCACGCAAAACACGTGACTGGTTCTCGACGCACCCCGAAATTCAGTTGGTGCAATGGCCTGCAAAGTCACCCGACCTAAACATAATTGAAAATGTTTGGACCGAGATGACTAGAAGATGGTCGCCCGACAGGGAGAGGACGAGAACAGCCATTTTCAGTCACATCAAAAGTATTTGGGACGAGCTTCGGCACGATCCTTCCTTTTTAAAAAATTTAGTTGATTCAATACCTAGTCGGTTGAATCAAGTAATCGACCGCGGCGGTTTTTGGACGAACTATTAATGTTTGCATTAATGGTGCGCATCACTCTGCCAGGTTCGCTGACCGGTCTTTTTAAAGGCCACCAACAATTTCATATACAGAGTGTCCCAGAATTGCTTTTGGACCGGAAAGTGGGCGATGCCTGGAGGTGCCCTGAGTACCCTCCCGCAAACCGTTTGCCAAAATTCGCGATAGTTTTTAAATGAGAAGCATTTAAGTGCGACCAATCAGAACGAAGGATTTCCGCGGATTCATTCGCGGATGATAAAGATCGCTGCTTTGCAATAGCTGCCCACAAATTCCGCGCTTAGCAATTGTTTCATTGCCCGAGCGAGCGTTGTAGGATTCGTTGACAAAATCCTAATATGGGCATGGGCGTGACTTAGGCTGGCGCAACAGCTACACGTGCAACGCGCGATCGGCAATTGTTTCGAGATGAAATGAAATGAAATTTTCGCTTAATGCATATCCCGAAACAATTGCCGATCGCGTGTTGCACGTGTAGCTGTTGCGCCAGCCTAAGTCACGCCCATGCCCATATTAGGATTTTGTCAACGAATCCTACAACGCTCGCTCGGGCAATGAAACAATTGCTAAGCGCGGAATTTGTGGGCAGCTATTGCAAAGCAGCGATCTTTATCATCCGCGAATGAATCCGCGGAAATCCTTCGTTCTGATTGGTCGCACTTAAATGCTTCTCATTTAAAAACTATCGCGAATTTTGGCAAACGGTTTGCGGGAGGGTACTCAGGGCACCTCCAGGCATCGCCCACTTTCCGGTCCAAAAGCAATTCTGGGACACCCTGTATATGTGGAAAACCATTCAGTAATCACAGACACCCCCTATTTTCCTACTATTTTTCTAGTGCGCTTCAAAAGGGCATAATCTTATAATGAAGTCATGAAACTTAAGCCCTTCTGCCTGCGCAATAGAAACGTAACTTTAACGTGTAGGGAACCTATCACAATGGTTGCAATCAAAACGGAACTGTCAATAGCAGTCGGGCCAAGCGGCAACCAATCAGCGTGGCTCTAAGAGAATGTGTAACGCGACGCCACGGCAGGGCGTAGGGTTTTTTAGAACGCTGAAAAGAAGGAAGCTTCTAGAGAGCAGAGTTCCCGCCTGTCCGCTAGCCATAACAGTGGATGTAGCTCCCTATTGGCTATTTTGCAATAAAGTGCCTTTTATGATTTAACAAGAAATAAAGCCTTTATTACGTGTCCTGTGAAAGCACCAGTACGCATGTAAGCGTGGGTTGAGTAACGCCGTGAAAATCCCCACAAATTAGTGACCCCGACGTGATAAGTGCTGTGCATCACACGGATGCCGACAAAGCAAGAGAAACCATGTCTGAAGAGGACATCGACGCTGTTCCGCAACTAGAGGACCGTCTGTTAGGCAGGCCAGTACTAGGTTCATCAGCTCCTCACGCGCCTACAAGTTTCCTAGATTGGACAGACGACGGGCACGACGTCGATGAGGTCCGAACCATAAAATTACCACCTTTTTGGAAACAGAACCCTGCGTCATGGTTTGCGCAAATAGAGGCTCAGTCTTATTCCCATCGGATCCGATCAGAAGATTCCAAATTTTTTACTGCTGTCGGAGCGCTGGATTCAGCTGTGCTCAACAACATCGCAGACATAATTCTGTCACCCCCAAAGCTAGATAAGTACCAAATATTAAAGGAAAGACTTATTGCCTGTTTCGCCGATTCCGAGGAAAAACGCATGAGGACTCTTCTCACGGAACTAGAACTGGGAAGCAAACGTGCGTCACAGTTTTTATGGGAAATGAAGACCCTGGCAGCTGACAAGGCCACTCCAGAAATCTTGCGTTCATTGTGGATGAAACGAATGCGTGTCAATGTAAGGACTATTTTGTCCGTTAGCAAAGGCGTAGCGCTGACAGAACTAGCGGAGATGGCGGACAAAATCATGGAGGTAAGCGAGCCGTCATACATTGTTGCTCCTGTAGAACCAACTGCCACACGGCCGACAAAGTCGTCGCTGGAGCTACAAGTTGAAGCATTATGCAAGGCTATCAATGAGTTGGTCGTAAAGCCGAATCAAGATAACCGTCGTTCCCGATCTCGGTCCCGTTCAAATTCTAAGAGCAAGGACGAATAGGAAACCGAATATTGCTACTACCACAGAAGATTTGGTCAGAACGCGAGGAAATGCGCGAAACCATGCTCTTGGGCAAATTCGAAGCAGATGCAGGAAAACTAGAGCCGTCGTCAGGGATTGGGGCGGTCCAGGACGACACAACGAAGAATTACCGCCTCACGGTAACTGACAGGGAATCGGGCATGCAATTTCTCGTCGACTCAGGTGCCGACGTATCAGTCATTCCACGGACAGCAGGCGCATTACACCCCGAGCCCACCGAAATACAATTGCACGCAGCCAACGGTTCCACCATCAATACCTACGGAACTAAGATTCTTCATCTTGATTTGGGACTGCGAAGGAGGCTATCCTGGATGTTCGTCATTGCAAGCTTCAGCAAGCCTATTCTTGGAGCTGACTTTATGCACCACTATGATCTTCTCATCGATCTCAAAGGTAAGCGATTCCATGACTCACTGACAAAGCTGTTTACAGATGGTACGGTGTCTGTCTCGACGGATCCGACTGTGAGGGTGATCGCCAAGGACACACCATACAGCAGCCTGCTCAACAGATTCTCCGGACTCGCCAAACATGATGTAAAGCATTACATCGAGACTAAGGGCCCGCCGGTAGCGGAAAGAGCTCGTCGGCTCAGTGGAGAGAAATTAAAAGTAGCCAAAGCAGATTTTGAATTTATGCTGGCGCAAGGCATCTGTCGACCTTCAGGCAGCCAATGGGCCAGTCCACTTCATCTGACGCCCAAGAAATCCGGCCAGTGGAGATCGTGCGGGGACTACAGGCGTCTGAACGCCTGCACGGTACCGGACAAATACCCTACACCACATCTGCACGACTTTGCACACAAACTACGGGGATGCTCAACGTTTACCATGCTAGATTTGACACGCGCGTACCATGAGATACCCGTAGCCGAAGAGGATAGACCAAAGACTGCGGTGATTACGCCCTTCGGTCTGTTCGAATTTAATGTCATGACCTTCGGCCTATACAATGCAGCACAGAGCTTTTAAAGATTCATGGATGCCGTCCTGAGAGGTTTAGACTTCTGTTTCTGTTATTTCGATGATACTCTCGTTGCATCTAGGGACGAAGCGGAACACGTGATTCATCTTCGGCAAGTTTTCAAGCGGCTGCAGGAATACAGGTCCATCAACACTTCGAAATGCGTTTTTGGCGCACCAGCGGTACAGTATCTTGATTTACAGTGGCAAAGGATGGTACCTGTCCAATTTCCGAACGGGTCACCGCTATCCAGGAGTATTCAAAACCAACTACAGTAGCAGAGATGCTACGCTTCCTGGGTGTGTTAAACTTTTACAGACGTTTCATAAGAAACGCTGCGGAGACACAAGCTCACCTCAACAGATACCTGGTAGGAGCCAAGAAAAAGGACAAGCCGCCAATCGACTGGACTCCCGACGCAGAGCAGGTGTTTGACCAATGTAAGCAACAATTAGCCAACGCCTCATTGCTCGCGCATCCTGTAGAAAACACACTGTTGGCCCTGCACACGGATGCATCCGACACAGCTATGGGAGCTGTTCTGGAGCAGTTGGTGAATGGCAAATGGGAACCTCTCGAATTCTACTCAAAGAAGTTTTCCAACGCGCAAAGAAATTATAGCACCTACGACCGAGAGCTACAAGCAATATACTCCAGACTTAAATTCTTTCGCTTCATAGTTGAGGAAAGAGGCCTGGTCGTGAAGACGGATCATAAACCGATCACATATGCGTTCAAGCACAAGTCGGACAAAGCTTCGCCGCGACAGGTACGTCAGCTAGATTATATAGGCCAGTTCACCACGAAAATAGTCCATGTTTCAGGGACAGACAACATCGTAGCCGATGCCCTATCCCGAGTCAATGAGGTCAACATGCCGGCCATCGTCTGTACTCAGGACATCGCAGCGGCGCAAGCCACAGACCCTGAGCTACGGGAGCTGCTTCAATCGAACTCATCGCAGTAATATACTGCGATGTCTCTACGCAAGAAATCCGTCCGTACATCCCGCTTTCACTGAGAAGGCAGATTTTCAACATCACTCATGGATTGTCACATCCCAGTGGTCGGGCCACAAAAAACCTAATCCAAAGGAAGTTCGTATGGCCCTCCATCAATAAGGATATCATGGAATGGGCGAGGACATGCATCGTGTGCCAACGTAGCAAAATTGCATGACACAATCGCCACGTTCCAGAGCACATCCCGGTTCCAGACAAGAGATTCAGCCACGTACACATGGACATCGTAGGACCGCTGCCGATGGTAAAAGGATACAAATACGTTCTAACCATGATCGATCGCTACACACGATGGCCAGAAGCTGTATCCATTGCAGGCATGGCCGATAAAACCGTGGTAAACGCCTCCTACAGCACGTGGGTAGCACGCTTCTGCGCACCAGCAACCGTTACCACCGACAGAGCATCTCAGTTCGAAACAGATTTCTTCAATGCAATTACCAATCTCGTCGATGCCCAGAGGGTAAGAACAACGGCATACCACCCAGCATCAAACGGCATGATTGAAAGATGGCACCGATCCCTAAAATCCGCAATCATGTGTCACGAAAACGACTCCTGGATTGACATTCTACCTACGGTCCTGCTGGGTTTGAGAACGAGCATCAAGGAAGATATAAAGACAGCCACAGCGGAATTGGTGTATGGTACATACTTACGGTTACCTGGAGAGCTAGTCATAGATTCAGCACGAATGGAGGGACAGGAAGTCTACAGTCGGAATCTCCGAAGTTGAATGAGAAACATCCGTCCTTCTCCAACCGCTCATCACTCAAAAAGAAAGGTCTTCACTCTCAAGCATCTGTCCACATGCAGCCATGTGTTTCTTCGGGTGGATCATGTAAAGAAACCCCTGGAACAACCTTATGAGGGGCCATTCGAAGTGGCGAAAAGAATCTCGGACACTGTATTCGGCATCATCATCAACGGAGAGAGGCAAACGGTCTAGACTAACAAGCTCAAACCAGCATTCCTCGAAACGCCACCGTTGGGACAGGATGAAGCTCAACCGAGCACCCCTGAGGAGCAGACGGAGTACAGTTCACAAGGAACGAGGTCAACGCAAAACTCTGCAAAGCCCACATCTTCTGTTCTTCCACAGGATCCGCTAACGTTGATGAACCGTCCTGTCAACCCAAGGATGTACTCTAGGAAGGTCAATTTCGCGCCTTTGGTCAAGCGCTAGGAAGGAGTAGCTGTAGCGAACTTATCGCAATGGTTCCAACCAAAACGGAAATGCCGAAAAGAAATGAATCCTGAACGCGACAATGACGCGACCCTGGAGGAGGGATTCCTGGCGTTAGTCCAGCAATGGATAGCGACTCGCGGAGAAGTCGGCCAGAGCCGACTCCGCGAGATCCTCGCGACAGGAGCACCAGAGTCCAGCGATGGAGCCCGAGGATCGGAAGCTGTCCCACGGCAGCAGGAGCCGCGCCCGGCATCAGCGCCACTGCTTGCGTTGCCGGCACCCCCAACGCGTAAAACGCCACCCGGAGAGCTGCCGCCAGCATTCGCACGGGCAATTCCGTCGGCAACCAATCAGCGTGGCTCTAAGAGAATGTGTAACGCGACGCCACGGAAGGGCGTAGGGTTTCTTAGAACGCCGAAAAGAAGGAAGCTTCTAGAGAGTAGAGTTCCCGCCTGTCCGCTAGCCATAACAGTGCCTGTAGCTCACTATTGTCTATTTTGCAATAAAGTGTAATTATTAATAGTTAATTCCTGATATATGTGATACTCACTTCTGATATTTAAAGAATTGCAGAAGATAAGAATCAATGTCGACTCTGTGCCATCAGTTTCATCATTTGGTCATACGTCATTCAGAGGGATAATTCCATTGTCCTTGATTGTTAATAATCGTTTTGTGGCAGATGTCACCTTCACGCATAGGGAATGCCCTTATATCCGCGGCACCTTCTGTGGGCGGTGTGGCGAGATAGGCGTGATCCATGGGGAATGCCCACTTTGTTACCCCGAGAAATACGGGTTACCGAAGCTTCTGTAACGCGTAGCTCGCGAAGGGAACCCGAGAGGTTTCCCGGTTGAACTCGGTGTTTGAGTTGTTTTTTTTTGTGTTTTTTTTTCTTTACATTCGGCAATTAATAGCTAAAGAATCCTGTGAATGTTTCTATCTTAGCCTCGTTAAAATGTTCCGACATACCTGAAGTAATCTCGATACGTTGGCAGCTCATGCATCTCGCTGTCGGCTCCCTCAAAATTTTCAATTTTCTCAAGTGTACGTTCCTAGTAGAGTAGCCACGCGTAACGTGGGATTACCTGTGTAAGTATGGTATAAGGAGTACCTTTTGTATTGATGGAACCCGCGTTAAGCCACGCGGGAAATAATAAAGTTAGTAAGTTTAGTCATTGATTTCGTTCTCTTCCTTTCTCTCTTCTTGGACGTTCGGTCGTTCTCGCTTTTTCTTCAATCCATTCTTAGCTCACTTCACTTATACCATCAATTGTCAACTTCACTTCAGTCGGGTGACTAGAGCGACGCTTATGGTAAATCTTTGAAGCTTACCGGTACACGATTCTTGAACCAAAAATTTGGCATTTTTCCGTATACGTTCGGCATCCTGTACTCTAGTCTCCATGGTATAAGTCACAGACCACTTATTGGAGACACGGCACTCCCGTGTTATAGACTGTTAGCACGAGCAGCAGTGCCATCTTATCGGAAGGTTATATCACTAACGCGGAAATTTGTTAGCCCCTGGGTTGCCTGGAACGCGTAGGAATCGCGTAAAGGTGTGCGCCGGTCGGTCTTGCATTTTCCGGTGAGGTCGATCGCGTAAAAATACGTCACAATACATATATAGGTTGTAACGTTGCAAAATTTGCCGTCACAATTTCATGGGTTAGCTCTCGCGTTTTAAGACGTGCTGCATTACCACCACGCACTCTAAACACCATCACAGCAACACACTCCATGGATCCTACTAAAATTTCTTGTATCTTGTATCAATCACAAGGCACCGCCGAACAGACGCCATAAGTGAACGTGGACGATCGCCGCCAACACCTAGTGACGTTTACCCCGAAGGAGTTGGAGGACCCGTTGCCGTATCGCCTACCGACTGGCGGCAGAAGAGGCACGAGAGTAGCAAGCCCAGCCGTACCTAGTGCACGGTACGTGCCAAGGGCTTGTGCACCCTGATCCGAAAGGCGCCTCTCGAACCTCGAACATAGACGGTGACTGGCGGGAGAAAGTGTAGATGATCCTTCCGAGGAATTGAATAACATCAGCAATAGCACCCAGAAGACTCGAGGAGCCAGGCATTCCGAGATGAATGCGACAAGTGGATGACGCTCCTTCGCACCCCTATAGCCAAGGCGACGAGGAGGATGAGCCCATGGGCCTTACCGAAGGTTAGTCAGGTATATATAGATATACAGGGATATACACATATAGTGTAAGGGTATTGTTGTTGGCATGAAAACGTGAATCGCGGATGAAACAAGCAATCCCGTCACAAGTACACGAATTCTCGCGAAAGTAACAATCGAGACTATAACCGGCAAAAGGCCTGGGCGCCAGGTATTCTCTAGGAATACCGATTTCACGAGGCAAGATATCCGGTAACCGCTCTCGCGACAAATCAATCGACAACGCACTAGCTCAGCCTGTTCACCCTGAAACAGCAAAGGCTGGGGATCTTTGATTGGGAGTTAGCGCAATCACGAAAAGTAACAGAATAGAATTTCAACCAATTATAACAACGCCCTTTTTATTAGGACATCAGGAAAACAATAAGTGCAGAAGGGTGGACCGCTCGATAGCTAGGTCCCCAATTACGTGAAATACTCGGGTACGAAAGAAAAAAGTTTTGCACTACAATATGAACAATATTAATAACGGGAGTGATATGCCGAAAATCGGTCGCGTACAGATTACAAAAAGAAATAGTACTTATCGTGTAAGAATCGTACGATAGCCTTAGCAACCGTACTACATAAGAGTAGCTAATAGCGCATCCTTCACGGACCGATAGCTTCCGTTAAACGGATCTCCCGGAGATATCGTTCGCGGAATGTACGATTCCTGGATCGAAGGGCTGACGTACGCTCAGCTTAGGCACATGCTCATCGGTTTCAACGCGAATCCTCAAGGAACGATTGCGGTTCTTCGCGATCGCCTATGTCGTGCCACTCGAAGGGCACAGTTCCTCTATTACTAGAGAACGCTAGGCAATGGCATATCACAGTACATCGGAATTTCAACAGAATGAAGCACAAAAATAACAGTATTAAGACAATGGCGAATAAATATAATATTCGCAAGAATGAATTAAATGTGTGTTAGGTAAATTTACGAACTAGTGCGAGAAGAAAGCACTAGTGCGATAATGTAAAATTGGGCCGATTTACGCATGCGCAGCATTTTAATCGTATCCATAGATATAAAGCGCCACTTTCGCCACACTTCGAAAGGCACGAAAAGTAGTGTTTTTCATGCATGAGTTACATACAAAATTTTAGTAGGATCCATGGAGTGTATTGCCGTGATGGTGTTAGAGTGCGTGGCGGTAATGCGTCACGCCTGAAAACGCGAAAGGTAACCCTTGAAATTGTGACGGCAAATTTTGCAACGTCACAACCTATATATGTATATATCGCGTTAGTGATATAACCTACCGATAAGATGGCGTTGCTGCTCGTACTAACAGTCTATAGCACGGGAGTGCCGTGTCTCCAATAAGTGGTCTGTGCAATGGAATATCAGAACCACGGTCTTACATACAGGTCTTGCAACGAGGCCAATTTTTAGTGGTGGGGGTAACATAGATATTGAAGCAGTTTTGTAATGTATGGCATCTTACCTACGTGTCGCTACTATCGAATGCGCTGGATCAACATAACCTATTTTGAAGTTATTTATTTCCAGTTCCTGCCATTGTGACGTGCAGGGCGTTATCGTCAGTTCGTAGCCGATTGCTAGGAGAAATCGTCGCCAGAACGCAAGGCCTTTACGAAAATGGTCTTGATTACCTCGACTGCATCCAGAGCATGTGGCAGCGCGCGGAATCGCGTATGCCACTCGAATTGCAGCTGGATTTGGCGTTTAATAATTTGCGCCCGGAGTATCATACGGAAATTCGTCGCGAGCAATTCACGAGTTTTTCCGCGTTGGAAGATGTCGTCCGTGAATACGACATGTGCCGCAGGAGGCCCGAGCATCGCGCACCTCCCGCGGCTACCGAAAGTATCCTCCTGGAATCTATTTAAATCAAAGATGCAGTGATCCCAATGAAATGATTCGAATATATTGTTACAACCCAATTTTGCTTAAGTGCTAGTTATTAAAATAGGAAATAATGAAAGTGCCAGATGGTCTTACAGTTAGGTTACAATGATCTCGTAATGCCGTGTCCACACTCACGCTTGCGTACTGACTCTCATACGTTCATTCGGCGTGCAACATTAGACGCCCACGCTGCCTTGGTGTTAGCAATTCTTCTTCTCACGACTCGAGATCCTTCACTTTGGTGATCACTTAAACTACACGACAATATTGTTCGTGGCAAAATCAGAATACTAACATCTAACTCACATTGACTTATACGCTACGCGTGCAACTCGTAGGGCTCGATACGTCTTAAACGTGACGGCCGTTAAAGATGATTCGTCGGATTCAGGTGCGAAACGCGCAACCCCGGATGAACGGCCAATCACGTGTTGGAATTGTCGCGAAAAAGGACACTACCATAGCGATTGTAAGAAAGATCGGAACGG